TGAACAGTAACCAACCAGTCTGAAAATTAAACTAACAAGTACGCTGACAAGAATCGACTACGTGGTTATCGATATTTTTTTGTGGGTGTTTGTCAGCAAAGTAAAACTGCTTCAGCTTAGGGAAACATCCGTCATAATTAGTTACATAACCAGCTTGAGTATTGAATATTTGTACAAGTTCCGATTTTTTGGCCTTTGAGCTAAACGCAATTCCTTTATCTTTTAAGAGTTGTTTTAGAACCGCTATTGTCATATTTTCGGCAGGTCCCTGTTTCATACATTCTATTTTTTCATTCTTTTCTTTCTCTTGGGCTTCTGTCAATTTCTTTTGTTGCATTTCCAGTCTCTGCCACTGGCCCTCGATTTCTGAAAGAATTTTGTCATCGAGTGAAAGAATGTCTTCAGAAGATGGAGTTGCTGGAATCTTTTGGACGAACTGAAAAGAGTCTAGGACAGTGTATTTTCGTGAACGGAACATCTTGTTTGAAATCTTTGTAGAATTTTCACAGTCCAATCGATGCAATCGATGACTAAATCGATGACCAAAAATTTTGTGGCCCGTCGATTAGTCATCGATTACTCATTGATCATTGGCAATAATCAAGGACTAATCAACTGATTACCTATCGATTACCTATTGATTACTCATTGATTTCATTGATGTCACTGATGTCATCAATTAGTTATGTCTGGAAATAACATTTAATCTCTTTTTCATGATATTCCCCCACATGAGCCTCCATTGCAAGTTAGATCCAGTTCAATACTGAGAATACAAACATGGGCTGTTCCAACAATTTGTTTGTTTTGTTGCCCTCTGTATCACAGTATCATAAATATCGCAAGAGTTTCAAAGAGGTCCTTCATCAAGAGCGTGTCTTGGATGAAGCAAGAAAAAGGGAAGCCATGCACGCAACAAGATTGAACAGACTTCAAAAACAGGTGCCTATACTGACCAAATATATTATTTTATTTACTGAGTCTCGAGCCCACAGACGGTCCCCTGTACCCAGCTCTGTTTCAGGAGTATTTTAGTTGATGTTTCTCATCAGGCCTGGTTCACACTATAGCGACAGAACAACATCACAACATAATATCATAATCGCTTACAGGTCTGGTAATGTGAACACAGACATAAAGACATAAGGACAAGATCAGTTCTTTTTTCTTACATGTATGTTGTCATCTGGGATGTTGCTATTATCATTATGTCAGGATGTTCAGTCACTGCAAACATAACGTGGTCATGCCATTATGTTGCATGTGTGAACCAGGCTTTACTGTTACTTAGAAATATAGTTTTTATATTATTTAATAGTTGGATCAAAACAAGAGGAAGAGTGGTGATGCAGGAAGACCCAGAACAATATCAAATGAAATGGCTGAGGTACATGTAAAGCAGTCTTTTCAGTTGAATATTATGAAATATTAAATAACAGTCGGAAAACTGATGACCCCAAATTTTCCCAGTCCCCTAAGAAATACCACACATTAGGGAGTCACAGAGATCTGGAATGTGTTGTCAGTAGTAATTGACTGTTGTATTGCATGCCAGAACAATGTAACTAAGTAAAATTGCTCATGAATCATATCAATCTGTTTGTAGTCCAGTTTAATCTGCAGTATGAAATCTTTTGGCTTGGGTCTCAGATCTCCATAAATGTCAAGTGCTAGCCATGAAATGCCTGGTTGTTATGCACACTTTGATATAATTCCACACCTCTCTACATGTAGAAGTGTAGATCTACATAACATCATTCCTCACCTGGTTCTACACTGATCTTTGATTTTTAGAAGGCATGGAAGTGTAGAATAGGGTGACAAACTGGGATTTTTAAGACCTTTTCCCCAGCCATTCCATAGTTGTCATTCTTTACTTAGTTCTACACTCCTCTGCTATAATGTGTGGAAGTTTGGATTGTCGTGACAAAGTAAGGATTTTCACAGTCAATCTTTTCACAGCCATTCCACAGTTATCATTCTGTACTTAGTTCAACACTTCTCTATGTGTAGAATACTGTGAAAAACTAGCCAAGGGATTTTAATGGTCTTTTCTCCTGCCTTTCCACAGTTGTCATTCTCTGCTTAGTCCAACACTTCTCTACCTTATTTTCAAGTCATGACTATTTAAATAATATTTTATTATTTACATATTTTTTCTGTTTTCAACTTTTCTGAAGATCATTACTCAGGCTGAACAGGAGCAAGCTGAGCTTGAAGTGAAAACAACTAAGCATGAGATTTTTAAGGTAATAAATAATTATTAATTAATAAAAATAAAATAAAAACTAAATTAGTCTTCCCCAGCTTAGTGCACTTCCCTCCTAAAGAGGAACACATTCACTGCATTGCTAAAATAATAAAATGTTCAATGCATTTTTATTTAAAAACATTATTTTATAATTTTCTCTGCAGGCTCGTAAGCTCAGGGAATCTTTAAGTAAGATTTCTGATGGACTTCAACAGTGGGCTTCCAAAACATTATTGGTTGCAGGAGCATACAAAAAACTGGCTGATCTTATTTCAGATACACCCACTCAACTCACAGATAGCAAGGTTTTTCATGGTATGTGTTCTGGACTAATACAATCCAGCAAAATTAACAATAATTATTCAGTTAGCTCTTTTGCTTCACTTAGCCGAATAGAAAATGTAAGTAAAGGAGACTGCACACAGACAAATAATACTGAAAAATAGTGAAGGGAGCCGCCAGCAATAATCGGATTTATTAAAACAAACCAGATTATTAAGTACTCCAGGCTGTTTTTCCCTATCGTAAATATTGTTGTCATTGTAAGATAGTGTGTAACTTATATTCTCTTGCTTGTAACCAAGATTCAGCATGTGTCAGATTCTTGTTAAAACGAGAACACATGCTGAATACAGGTTACAAGCAAGAGAGTATAAGTCACACGCTACAGTATCTTACAGTAACAACAATATTAATGATAAAGAACTCTGATTATTTACTAATAAGGCTTTAGCCAAGAGAGGTACTTTTTCCAGATTAGAGATGTATACATTGGGGTAGGAATTTCAGATGAAGTATGGAAAAAAACATTCAAAGTCAGGAAAAACTGTCATTTTAGGTTTCAACATTTTGTCATCAGCACCTGCACTCAGGGTAGCCAAAAGCACCTGCGTGGCTGCTGGCAAAAATCACCATCTGCTTAGTGATCTTGGCCAGCTACATGCACTCTGCTGGATTATTTGTCTGTTGTGATTCTTTAAAATATAATTACATACCAAAATTATCAGCCACCTTCTCAAAAGCTGTTAGCTTCAAAACTTGGCCACAACCCTATACACAATCCCTAGGTAATGCAAAAGGAGTTCCATTTTCTATGGAAGGTACAAGTCATGTACATACATGTATGAGAAGGGTTACCTGTTCTGTCAAAAATTGTCAGCATTTATGTGGATGAGGGTTTGGACTTTGGTTTACACTGGAACCTCACCATTAAAAACTCGCTATCTTTTACAATCTTTGAGTGGAGTATTTAGTTTTGAAAGTGTTCTCCCAGAGGACAGGGAAGTTCAACAGCCACTATTAATGTACTGAAAACAATTCAATAACTAATGACAATCACAACTGGATTAAATACTTTTTTACTCCTAGGCACTGGTCAGACAAGATGCATTGTCAATAATCTTGCAAGAGACCTACACATCGATCCTGAGCTATCTGCCCAGTTAGCAGCAGTGGCAAAGTCCACCCAGCCTTATTTGTATGCAGTATCAGCCCCTGTGAAGCCAGACAACGCAAAATATTCTTACGCTGACTTACTATCTTCCTCAGAACAAAAGTCCCCCAAGGAAAATGCAAAAAAACCCAAAGTTAAGCGCGCACCTCAGCCGTTGCCGCATCAACATCTGAAAGTTAAGGAGAGTGCTCTAGATGATCCAAATCTTAGGAGGCCATTGTCATTGACTGATCTGAGGCCACCACCCACTTCACCACCACCCCCTCTCCCTAAACATGGTAAGCTGTGTTGCATTTTGAAGCTGGGGTGCCTGTATAAGGGAGAGCTGGAGAAATTCATTAAGACATTAAAAAAAACTAAGGAGGGTTATATCTTACTTATACACTTACCATTGTGTAAATATTGCCTAACTCTAAATTGCCAAGCCTACAGACTTTTAGTAAATGTAGTTGTCACTAATACACATTCTTATACCTCATAGGATTTTAAAATAATCTATACTTTGATGAAGAATTCATTATGTACAACTGACTATTTTTTTTTTGCAGCAAGACAGGTTGTTTTCCGGACAAATTCAGCAAAGGAGAGCATAGGAAGGAAAAGTAAGTTGAAAGAAGTAGAAAAGTGACTGGGTTTGGGCATGAGTTACAAGGCTGTCATTCATAGTCCCCCCCCCCCNCCTCTGCTGTAGCTCTGGGACTGAAAATAAAGAAATAAATAAGTGTTCCCCCAAGTGGGGATGGCAGGGGGGAGACATGTGATAGAGATAGATGAATTACCTACTGGGTTCTTTGTTTCAACTCCAGCAAAGATGAATTCAAAACAGTCAACTGGAAAGATCTGGTATGCAAGAACAAACATATCAAGTGATTCTGATTCTGATAGTGATGGATACACCGAGCCCATTACTGATGGGTCGTTTTTTGAAAGGAGGAGCAAGATGCTTTGTAAAGTGTTAAGTGATGGTGCCATTAATGAAGTGGGCATGCGAGGCTATGCTGTCAGAAACACGGCAACTCAATCATCCAGCAGGAACTTTTATCACCAACTAGAGAGACGGTCATCAGAAGAGGACATCATTCAAGAAGATAACGAGCCCGACAATTATGTTGCTCTTGTTAATTGAATATTATGTAACAGTAATGATCAATAATGAAATATGAACTGTGAAGTGGCACTTGAAAAATGTGTCTCAATTTAATTATTTTATAATAATGATAAATACAATATTATATTATATAATATTATACAATCATTCAATATAGGTATACAATATTAGATATTTTTGTTAACAGAGATAACAAATTAGTAAGAGAACTATAATGATTTTTTTTTGCTATTAAGTGTAAATAATGTAGAGAAGAGATTTATTTCCAAATTTTAGTTACTTTTGATAGTGGTGAATACTCAAAAATAATGAATTGTAATGGAAAATTTAAATAATTTTGTAATGGAAATTCATGCACCAATAATTATCTATAATATTGTTACAGTGTATGGTCATTATAAAGAGAACTAGACCTTGTATATAATTCAGAGAGGAACTTTATTCCCAAATCTCAATATTAAGTAATTTTTAATGGTGATGAATTCAGAGAAACAAATGAATGGGAAATTTAAATTTAAGGGAAATAAATACATGCATCAACAAGAGTATTTATTAGTAGCTTAAATTTCACACTGACGCTAATTTTGTTAGTCATTGTATTTGTTGTAAACCTCCTCTGATGTGTCATGGAAGAAGGTCATTGGATGACAACTCAAATAACTGTTGCCAAGAAGAATGGGGTCTCAGGCCATGGTATTTGCAAGACTGGTTTCTTGCTGGACTATAGCTAAGGGTAAATTGTCCATAAAATTAATATAAACATTAATTCTTGAAATTCATATGCCTTTGTACTTAATGACTTGTTTCTAATATGTTGATGCATAAATAACGTTGACTTCATAAAATAACAGTCGTCATCATGTCCTTTTCCCTACAAGGGATGTAAGGCCCTGTACATAAAATATTTTTTTGTATTGTTATATTACATATTAAGTGAATTCCAAATTGAAATAACTTACATTATTAGCTTAGCTTGCAGTACATGATCCATTATACCATGCTCTACATATATGGTAAGCGTACGCATTCTTTATGGGGGCGTTTTTATCTTAAGTTTATTTTGTTTTAGTATTCAATATTTTGGTGGCATTTGTATTCCACTTGTGCTTGTTGGATATGAGATAATTTGAAAATTAAGGCAACTCATATCCAACCTGCATTCATGGAATTGTTTTTTACACACATATTCATGTACAAGACAGTATATGATTGGTGATGAATTAGCTTGTTTAGATAACCTAATACAATTAATTAGAATTGACATTTAATTGATACATGTAGGAATTTTATATTCTAATTTTTGTAAAATTTCTATCTGATACAAACACAGGGTTGTACCAGTAACTAATAAATTTCAATGACAAAGGAGATTCTAGTGAACAGAAGTTGTCAAACTTTATTCCTTCTTTGTTTTAACCTGATACAAGGTTAACATCCAGTTTGATTGCTTATCCTAAAACTCACCCAAGACAGAACAAAATCACTCAGTCTGTAAATCATACATTCAACTAGACTATCTGTAAGTATAAGGCTGGTTTTCACAGCCAAACATAAGCACAAACACAAGCCTAGAGAGGACATCACTTTGCATACATGTTCATATACATGTAAAGCACAGCTTCCGTATGGAGAAGTCAAAATAACGAACATACTTCTATGCATACAAGAAACCACCCTTGAAAGAACTCTACTTACCCATAGTTATTTACATAGTATTATAGAACTTTAATCTTTTAAAGAACAACTTTTATTACAAAATGTCAATTAAACTTCACAACCTACTTGTAAGATTCAAGTCAATGACAAGAAGTTGGCTTGCAAGATTTTGCATAGCCATTTTTCCTCTTGAGCAATCTTTTGCATCATGTTTGACAGAGTAAGCATGGGGAGAGACTGTGGAGAGTCAAACACTGACTGTGACCTGGCCATGTGGACTTTGATTGATATTTTTAACTGATTAAGTGTCATGTATGACAATCACTCGCGGACTGGCAAGATTTAGAGCTGGATAAAATAACAGATCTTTGATCTGGCATTCTTAACTGCTCTTGGCAAAGACTTTTCTTTGTGTGTTTCAGATCTACGTTACCTCAGAACGTTTCCACTTGCAGAGGTGCAGTACTTCTGAAATATTGAAAGATAGAAGTGGGAGTGATGTCATCAAAAAGTCAGCTTGAGAAAAAGTTTGTTTAAGTCGTAATAATATAGGGAATACATGTATCCCAGGAATGTTGGGGACGATCTACTCAGTCCTAATTTGAACACACTGCATGCCTATATTGATGAATACTTAGTACTTGTCCAAGAACTACATGTACCATGCTGACAAACTAGAAACTGCACTGTCTAATGTCTTCAGTTCAGTCATTCATTCTATCAATATACTGATTCCTCAACTGATGAAGGATATCGCATTGTTAATCACTCGAGTCACTTGCAATATAATTGCACTCATCCGTGATACTTCCATCAGTTTGAATTTCATCCTCTTCTTCTCCTTGAAGCATTCTTTTAATTGACGCTGTGGGTGTGATTTTCCGGTGATGTTGCCAGGTACTTTTTTGGAATGCCATGATACAGTGAAGATTTCCTCCAGGCTTTTTAACATTTTTATGTTGAATTCCCATGTGAAGTTGGCGAATGTTAAGGTACAAAGGGGATTCATTGTTTAAATCTGTTTCAATATCTGCCCATCTGGAAGAAAATGTTTGATTGCAGTTAACTTGTTATATTCAAATGCTTGCCATAAGATTTTAAGCTGAAAAGTTTCAAGGTTCACATTAATAGCCAAGCCATTTCTAAGTTGCCTTTTTGTGTCTCTTTCAAAACTACTCTTTGTGCAAAACCATTCACAGGAAAATGTGTTTACAGTTTCATTTCCATGCAAATCAAAATCATTTTCATATAAAAGGTTTTACACAAGGACTTGTTTTGAAACAGAGGCACAAGGTAACTCAGAAATTTGCTGTTTTGTTAAACTTAAATATATGGACAAAAAATTTCCTTGTATGTGTTCATCAAACAGTATGCACTGGACATGTGGAGAGGTCTGCAGCTTAACAGCTCTCTTCACAATTTTGTGTCATAGGCCTGCAGTGCATGCAAATAACTGTAGCTTTACCGCTACGACGCCCTTTTCACATAATCTGCACCAGCCATCTTATGATGCTATGCAACATTGTCTTGTACCTCTTGCAGTGGATACTTGGATGTTTGCAACTTGGATCTCCAATCAGGATCCAAGTTTCAACCTCATCTTCATACAACTGTGCCCTGAAATAAAAGTCCAAGATTTTGTGTTACAATTCATAAGGTTCTTGAAGGTAGCTAGAGTCTGGTTCAAGACATGCAATTTCTACATGTACATTGATAAGAGCATATTAATAAAGTCCAATGGGTAATGCTTGAAAATAATGGGACCATACCCCTTCCCTGCCATGGTTGGCTACATGTTCTATTACCCCTTGCCTTTGGGAATTAAGGCAGGATAGGGGAACCTACAGAACTGCTAGTGATGCTTTATGCTTCATAAACCACTTGGCCCTTCCCTTCCAGAAGCCTAATTCACACATGGTTAAACCCTTACTAAAATTTAAAACCAATACTGGTGGAATTAAACCACTAACATTTAATATTAAGTTTTAAAGAAGACGCCAATTAGAAAGTTGACCTAATGATGGCTAACAAGCCACAAATGTTTTACAGCCCAGCCTACAGTATACCTGTACGCATCAACAGCCTTATTAGGTGAGTCATCATATCCAATAGGACAGAAGTAGTGATTGTAGCAGTGGTAGATGAAAGCCATCTGTGGGTTATGCAGACCTTTCTTTAGCTGACGTAAAGCTTCATCCCCACTCAGGCCAAAAGTACGGCTCTTTCCTTTGGGTTTATATAAAAAGTATGCCTCGCCGTGAACTTGGAAGTGATCGCAAAGCTGTCTGAACCATCTGAAATTAATTTGGATTTTGTTTGTTGGTGTGAAAAATAATAAGTTATCAAATTAAGTTTGAACATATCCTCTAACCTGTTGTGGATTCCTTATACAAAGAACTTCTGCATAGAAGGCTAATACATGTTCCCAGGAAAATAGAATCCAACTTTTAAGTATTTATTTTGTATTCTTCCTGGCTATTATTACTTCTTATTAATCAACAGTTTGTTTTTCAAATCTATTTTGTATTGAAACCTTCCTCAGCCAATGTATTGGAATATTTCATGATCCACGCAGTACACGATGTATAAAATGACACCATTATTGATTGATAAGATTGATATTGATTGTCTTTTATTACTCATTTTTTAATCATTATAATTTTTTATTAATCATTGGCTAGGCTGTAGTGGTCTCCCTGCCTATTAAAAATTTTATGTATATAAGTATTTTAGTTAGGTGAAGTTGAATAAATAAATAAATAAATAAATAATTTTAATAATAACTAACTAAATAATGGTAACAATGACTATTAACTGTTAATAGTAGCAATGATTATATTTGTTATATTAGGTAACCTAACTGGTATCAGCATGGATTGTACATAATTTATGCAGCTCCACAGTCTTGTGCACTGCATGTATTACTTTACAAAATTTTAATGCCTATGATGATCAAAAGGTGGCAATTTCATACCTCATTAAAGTGGCATTTCCAGTGAATGGTCCAAATCTTATTTCCCCATATGGTGGTTGGAAACCCAGTACACTCAGTGCTTCTTCTTGAGTCAGGGGCTGCTTGCTATAAAACAAGAAGGTTATGAGTTGAGTTAACAGGACAGCATAATTTAATATTAAAAAAAATACCCTGAGTCTATTTGTATTTAAGTCAGAACACTCCTGAATGTATTCTGCTTGATGCTGTGAAGAATCATCCCACAATAATCTTCTATAAAATTATGGCAATGTGAGACACAGTCTAGGAGCAATATAATATTGAAAACCATAAATACATCTCTAGAGATGTGGAGGTGCAGTGGCCTCATGGTTAGTGCGCTCACCTCCGGATTAAGCAGTCTGGGTTTGAGCCCTGGCCGGGGGCATGGTGTTGTGTTCTTAGGCGAGGCACTTGGGCAACTCCCACAGTGCCTCTTTCCTCCCAGGTGTATTAATGGTACTGGCAAATTTAATGCTGTGGGTAACCCTGCAATGGACTAGCATCCCATCCTATTCATTCCCATTCAGCTCTGGCCTGATGGGTCACTTGGCTTATATGCATACATCTAGAGAAAGTCTATGGTTAATCTGTGACCACTTTGTAGGTTTAAGGCTGGTTTACATGGCGACGGAGTCGGAGTCGTAGTTGGAGTCATAGGAGCGCTTATGACCTAGTGAAAATCGAAAATCAGAGTCATAAGCGAAGTCATAAGCTTGACGGAATTGGAGTCAGAAGAATCAGAACGTTTACATTTACAACTCTGTCATTTATGATCCAGTGAAAACTACACTGTCAGAGTTGGAAGCAGAAACAGAAGAACTAACCAATCACAAGGCCCGGAAATGAACATTGTGATTGGTTTATTCTTCCGCTTCTGCTTCCGACTCTGACAATCTAGTTTTCACTAGATCGTAAGCRACGGAGTCGTAGGCGGATGYGGTGTTCTGCTTCYGACTCYGTCAGTTTGATTTTCACTAGATCGTATCACTCTACGCTTCTGATTACGTCTCCGACTATGACTCTGTTGCCAGTGAAAACCAGCCTTTAAAGACTGACATTGAACATGGTCACGTTCACCTGTCTGTATTGTCTTGCAAGTCAGCCACCCCAAGTAAGCCTTAATAGTTACACAGTCCTTACAATAGGAAAAATAAATAAGAGTAAAGCATATCTATGGGCAGGTCATGGTTGGAAGAAAAATCCAGGCCATTTGTGGCAGTTAACAGTAGTTATGTTAGAGGTTAAACTGTGCCGTTACGTATCATGGTTGTAAATGTATGTACTGTTTGTTTATTATACCTGCCTGCACCTAGTGAGCTAAACAGGAAATTCCAACAGGATACCACGGACGAAATGCCACAGGACCGCTTGTATTGAGGTCGGCTCATGCAGTACCTGTTAAAAGTGTTTTTAAAGAGTGAGTTAATGAACTGATCAAGCCACTTGCTAGTTCTAATAAGACTTGACTTTCTCAAAAGCCTAACTGTAAATTTGAGTATGCCTAAATCAATGTCTAGGGTGCCTTGCCCTAGCCACCTATGCAGACAATCTTAGGGCAGGTCAGACAATCTTTCCTCCCCAAAGATTGCATGACAAACCATAAGGATATATGTATCTGTGAAGGAAGCTAGCTTTGTCTGTACGTGTAAATAATACAGGGCTTCATGTGGATTGGTTGACCAATTTGCAAGAAGTTTCAGGTCCTTAGTCCTGTGTGTTTTGTTGGCTACCTATCATCTCAAATCCAACCCACACTCATAGAAATTATTGTTGATTATTTTAAGTATTTTTACCATCTTCTGAGGTCTAAGACTTTCCTTCTAGCCATCATTTCCTGAGTGGCCATTTCTGAGAAAGCCAGGTAACTTCCTGTGTATAGTTCTTGTTTATCTGTGGTTCCAGATCTCTTGTTGCCATCATTGCTCTGCAAATCCTGCTCTTTGGTTCTTAAATACTTTTTTGGTGGTTTCCTCCTCTTCTTAGATTTAAAACAGTCTACATCAACTTGCCATGAGCATGAACGAGGAACATCAGGTTTAAGCTCCTGTGAAGAGTTCACTGAAGCAAACATTTGTGGATCTGAAATGCTTTTAAAATGTCTTCCTCGGAAAACTTTTTCCTCAGCAATCAGTGGCAGTGAAAAATTGCTGCATTCCAAGACTTGATCTTCTTCATGTAATGGAAGATTCCTGCATGAAACACTTGTCCACTTTTTAGTTTTCGTTTCTTTTTCTTTTTCTTCACTTTCTTCTGTTGCTATGAGAGAATCCCTTGATGCCTCGGTATTAACTTTACTTAGATCCCTGGAAATTTCATAGACAGCAGAATCTGAGATTTTCTCTTCCTGTTGATGGTGTGTAAAGCTTATTTCACCTTTCGCTTCGCCTACAATTGCACTAGTTTCATGTGGCTCTTTTATACAGCTGTTTTCCGAGTCAGCTGATAGTTTTTGTGGAGTTAAATCACCGTTTGATGACGAAGCATTATCCACAGTTTCATAGAAAATCTCTTCACAGTTAGAATCGCTATCTTCTTGTGCCAGCTCCCCTCTTTCTTCGTTCAACTCTGAGCTGCTATGAATTTTACCTCGCTCGGTACTCCAAATTGAGCCCATCTTTGTCAACTTTCCCACGCTATGATTTTCATGATTGCAAGCTTTCTGTAGCTGTTTTAGTTGCAAGTAAAGATGAGATGGAAAGCAAGAATTTGCAACTGAATAAAACTCACATCAACAACCTGCAAAAGTCAGCAGGTTTTCCGAAATTGTTGCCAATTATTTGCTGTTTTGAGAGTTTTTTTTTGTAAAGTAGCGCTAAAATGAGTCACCGCTGACCTATTGGGACTCAAACAGGAGAGAATTGTGGGAGCTGATTAGAACGCCTGGAACATTCATGTTTTATGAGATGTAAATGCAATGATTGTTTCGAAACTTTGATTAGATTATTTCGCGTAACTTCCTTTGGGGCGATTCGCATTTACACTAGTTCACAGTCAAGACTTTCCGCTGCGATTGACCTCCAGGGTGCCTTAGTATTGCTTTGAAGAAAAACATCTGCTTCTGCATAATTTGTTTCGCTTGCTGAACAAGATTAGAACTCTTCGAGAACTACAAAACTCTTTGGAGAAACGCTGAAAATGTCTTCCTCGAGCTCTCAAGCTGTTGCAAGACAAAAATTCACCTACCCTATCGGCGATACGTACGATGGTGAATGGAATAACGACGGAAGAAAGCATGGCATCGGACATCTTACTCTTGTCGACGGCACGAAGTACGTTGGACAATTTCACAACGGGTTCTGCCACGGCCATGGTGTGGCAAAATTTCCGGACGGTTCCGTCTACGAGGGCGAGTTTGAAAACGGAAAATACAGTGGCTTCGGGGCTTTCACACGAAACGATGGAATGCGCTTTGAAGGGAGGTTTCAAAACGGAAGGGTTGATGGCGAGGGGGTGATAACGTTTCCAGATGGCAGCCATGGGAGACCGAGACAAGAGGGATATTTCATGGGGACAGAACTTGTAGATAGACACCGAGCGACTGACACAGTTCTGAAAGCGCAACAGGCTGCTAAGATCGCTCGAAGCATCAAGATTTGAAAAAAGAGCTATTTCACAAACTTCACGTTTCGGAAAGTAGCCTAATAGTTTATGCTTCTAGTTCTCAAGAAACTTTTCTCAGGTTTTGAGTAGGAGATTTTCAGTTGTGAAGTTTGCACCGTTTATTTCTTCTGAAGTACATGCTGGTAGAAAAGCCCAAGTCCAAATATTGTCAGGGAAACTTATTTAATAGCAAGAAGGATCTAGAATATTATTTTCCCTCCCCCAGTCACTGTACAACAGCTGCCATGTATTTAACTGAGAGATCTAATAAGGGGTGGGTAGTTTGACACAAGATATTCCCAATGCATTGTATAAAGTAAGGTGGTGATAACGTGGGTATTCATCTTTATTTTCATCTGATCAGTCATTTTGTAATAACTTAGGTGTAATACATGAAATATGTGGTCATGTGACAGACCTGTTGTGTTTATAACCTAATAGTAATGAACAGGTGTCTGTATTTGCTACCATCACGCCACTACCCTTACACATCTAAGATTTGATTTTTGCCCATAAGTAACAAAAGTAACAACCAATTAGGTAAACTTGTTCCCAGGGTCTCTCTTCTGAAAGAGTCCTGGGAACGAGGTTGGCAATCAGGGACAGTTGCTAAATCTCTGGACAGTTTCATTATCTGGGTAGAATGTTCGGGTTGAATTTCAGTGAAGGATAGAATATGTATGTATGCCAAAAGATAGCTTTGTTTCTCAAACATTTCATTAATATTTATTAGTCCAGGTCTCATCTATGCTACAGTCTCAGGAGAGATTAAACCAGCTGCTCTACCTCTCATACTGACAAATTCAGGCACTCAGTTACTCAGACCCCATCTGGATTGATCATTATTTGTCGCAAAAATAGAAGTAAACACAAGCTGGCACTTTTTTAGTATATCGTACAGTACTGTGTCTGCTCAGGAAGTGGAAGATATTGATTGTGGAACCTTTTTTCTCAGCCAATGAAAAGTAGCACCTACAGTTTTGTCTATAGGTTAACACTCTTGTTCATAAAGGCACTTATTCAAAGAAGACCAATGAGTCAATACAACATATGCTAAAAGTTGTTTTGTGAGTACAACCCTTTGACATTATTATTTGTCTAATCAGCTGTAAAGTCAAAGAAATTCTATCTTAGCTGTAGTTTGAAAACTAAAAGATTTAATTATGTGAAAATTCTCACTTCTAGTAACTAAAAAGTTATTAAAATACCAAAAAATGTTACAAAATATGAAAAGTACTCCAATACTAGCTACTTCTTTTAAGAGCTACAATGTACATATAGACTAGGATTTTAATGCACTATTAAGTGATTCTCGAGTCTTTAATTTCAATGATTTTCATGATACATATGGTGCAATATTTGGCAGCCTGAATTAATTACTTGATTGGTATATGAATGTCCAGTTCATATTTATCTTGAATTTTAATTTTAAACATTATAAGCCATAGGTGAGAAGCCTTTCCTTTATAGGTCCTCTGCAGTAAGAACATGTTGCTAAGAAGGAAGTGCATTGAAAACAGGTTATTTGATGGCGACAAGGAAGAACAACACAGTTTGGCTTTTGTAGAGTACATATGATGCAATTATCCTTTTGAAACCACATTTCTTCAATTTCTTTGGTTGTTGTTTTCAGAACGTCTGCAACAGAGTCATCTGCCTGTTTCGAAGCCAGAACAATCTGAGACAGTTTCTCAAACTTGTTTGCTAGACGCTTCCGAAGAATATGACTTTTTTCATTTAAAACACTAACTTGATGAGAAAAAGCTCTCTGTTTGCTTTTTAGGTCCTCTATGGTAGAAGCCAGCTTCTCTTGGTAGAATATCTTGTCTCTTTTGAGATCCATGATTGTGTTTGAAAGTTCAACCACATCTTCATTCAACTTTTCAATCTCTTTCTTCCATGTTTCGCTGACTTCCTGCTCTACGTTAACAAACTTCACCTGTTGATTGACCAGGTCTTTCTCCAGTGAAGAAATCTTGGACTGAAGCTGTAAGAGTTCTTGTGCATGGTTCCTGTCTTTCTCAAGGAGTTTTTCACTCAGAAGATCTTTCTCTCTCTGCAAAATTTAATTTCCATGACATGTTAATTACAACAGTTACTAACAGTAACTGCTACCTATTTTAAGTGTCAATAACAGTGACCCCAGAAATTCAAAACCTAACTAACGATTAAATAATTTTAATTATTAAATATTTATTGCATTTTTCTGCCATCAGTCATTACTACAAGAAAACATTAGACTAAATTTGAAAATAAGAAAAAGGCAAAATGGATTGCAATTGAACCAAACAAAACCCACAAATGTGACCTTTTGAACTGGTTATTGCCTGAGCATCAATTTTGTTTTCTGAGAGGGCTGCTCAGCTGATTGACAACAGCAAAACTTTGCAATCATTGTTTGAGCAGAGTTTACATATGATTGAAAGGTGCAGTATACTGTGATTCAATCTGAATGATAATTGATCATGATTTACCATGAGGATTATAAATAAACAATTAGCCTACACTTGGCATGAAAATATGGTTGGATAATTGTCCATGGACATCACCTGTTCCAAGAAGCAGTTTTCTGCAAGCATAGTTCAATGAAAAATATGAGCTTTGAGGAACACAGGGCTCTGCAGTTTTGAAAATTGGAGAATATCACTTGCAATGGGTGTTCCCCAATTTTAGCTGCTCAAGGCATATAATGCAGTCACCCAGTCACGTGACTCATTTATCTACCAATTGCACGCAAGAGAAAATGCTTGGTGGATTATAAATATTAATATTTTATATCTTGGCACCTGTTAGTTTGAGGCCATGTTTTAGCTTTATTTTTAATTTATTTTTTAACACTTTGGATGACAGTAACCTGTAACATTTCCTCTCTCATCTTGAGCACTGATGGATTTGGGGATTCTTGTGATGATTGCGGTCTTCCATGTAAGTCTTCGCAAAATGGCGGATTCATTCTGCAAACCTGCATTGAAAGAGATGCCACTAACTTGACTATGCCGTCACTGCAGCCATCAGATGAGCTCTGACCAACTGAAGGATTAAAAAAAAAAGAAAGCAGAAAGTGGACCGAAATAATATTGTAAGACTGTGACAAGTGCAGCTATCATTAGTTTAAGGTAGAAGGGGAGAGGTGAAAGAGGAAAAACATGTTGCATGATATCAATGATGTTAAGGGTTACAAAAGTAATGTTGGTATTGAAAAATAAATTAAACTCTTTTGCAATAAAAGTTATACTTAGTCACTATTTACATTGTAAATAAGTCACTCATTTAGGAGAAGTTGGTTTTCAATCACAACATTTTTCTGGACTTACTGTTTGAATTATTTTGTAAATATAATAACAGTCTAAAGAAGCTTTCAATCGGAGACTAGCTGTGCAGTGACCGATAGAGCAGGAGATAAGACAAACAGCTTGGCGTTGGATCGGCCACACGCTGACGACACCAGATGGATTCATAGCCAAGAGGGTCATAGAGTGGAACCCACAGGGGAAGTGCAAGAGAGGGAGACCCCAGCACACCTGTAGGCACACAAGAATGGCAGAGTTGGAGGAGAGACAGCTCACATGGTGGGAAGTGAAACAAACTGCACAAAATAGGGTCAGGTGGCAGGCACTAGTGGACAACCTACATGTATGTTCTAAATTCCACCAGGAATGGAGGACTGAGTGAGTAATAACAATAGATCTGCCACTTCTGTTGCTAATGTACATGTGGGGTTCATTACAACTAACCTTGCACTAACTCCTGAGGTTGAAGGGATAGAATCTTCATTGCAATCAAAGCCTCTCTACAAAAACACTTGGTACTGCTCCTTTGTTTGCAACAGTGATCTGTTTTCCCACTTAGCAAGGCTCGTGGAATCTTGTAATGACCAAACTCCTTTCGAAAAATGACCCGATCAGCAGATTCAGAGACATCCATGGATGTTAAATTAAATTCTGGAGAACACAACTGGACAAGCTTTTCAACATGTTGAAGAACATCAATTTCTTCTTGAGTCAATTCTGCATAAGGAACTAAGAAATACTTTTTTAGTGTTACTCTGGACAGAATTGTTTCCAAGGGTTCAAATGCTCCAGACTTATACAGCACGTCAATTAGAGATTGATTACACAAAACTAACTTCTCCTGAATTTCTTGTTTGATTTCATTGAGTTTCTGTGCTGAAACTGTGTTGGGTATTGGGTATGTCATTGGTCCATGCATAGCAAAAAACCGTTGAGCTATCAGAAATGCAGCTTCATCGCTGAGGTAGAAATTTGCATGTCGTACATCAGAGGTGTTGTTCCGTTCCAAGAGATTGTAATAATATGGAACCAGATCTGGTCTCTGTTCTATAGCATGCACCCACATACTGCTAATCTGGTGATCAATTTCACTCAGATGAATGACAGCTCTTCGATCTCTGTCGATCTTAAGATGAACAAGGTCAACGCCAGAGGCCAGACCATCTTTGGACAGGTCGGACACCCAGACACCTTTGACATAAAGTTGGCCTTTATAATGAGCACCAATCAGCAATGTCCCAGTTTCTGACTTAATACAGTCAGAAGGTGGACAGAGGAAAAGAAACCGATTCACATACAGTTCCCAATCTTCATGACAAAGTGGGAAGACAGATACGCGTGTGTCTGTCTGTCCAAGATCGAGGTCATCATCGTCATCATTATTGTCGTCGTCACTTTCATTCCACCTGTCGTCGACAAAGACAGTCAAGACCTCCTCATCAAACGCTTCATCATGCGACAATCCAAACTTCCACCGATCTCTACCCGTTTCCATAGAAACCACTCTCCCTTCTCTGACCAAAGCCAAGGCACCAACTTTCAGTCCTTCGCCAAACTGTCCAATCACTTCCTTGTTGGAAGCTTTCTTCGAAAAACCGAGAAGCAAGACTTTCCTCATCAGTTCTGTGTCGTGGTTTACCAGGGTAAGTCTTTCTCTGGCTGGGGTATAGACTATTCTCCCGAGTTCCACGCTCCTCTCCTCTTTACGATCCCCTGAATGCGAACCATGGAACGTTTGATCACATTTTTGTGTTCGATTCGTCAAAGTGGCTGAACTGCTTACCCCTTCTGACGAATTTCCCGTTGTTAGCACTGCTTTATATAAGAGAGAGTCTTTTTCTTCGCCAGAAAGAAACGCGACTTTTGATCTCGCAGAAGCGGTGATCTTCATTTTTTCAAGGGAAGCGAACACTCCATCATGCCAGTTTTGTACAAGTTCACGGACGCCTTCCCATGTTTTCCATGACGGTGCATATTGAGCAGTTAAACTGAGACTTATAGACTTAACTGAACTCGACTCCTGAGCCATTTTCATGCGTACAATGTCCAGCTCAGCAGCAATAATCTACAGTGAACTTCCGCTGCACGTTACACTACCCACGTCGTTCCTAGCGCCCAGGTTCCCAAGGGTCAACGATGACATCATTAATGACATAATTTCTTATTTTTGATGTGTCATGTTTCCGGTTTCTCAAATCCGTACGTGAGACTCTCCCAGACCTCTGCCTGGAGAGAAAATCTGGAGATTTTCCCAATAAACTTCGGGTGTCTCTGTTCAAATAAACAGATTTACTGAAATACATGACCACTGCAGCAAATCAAAGAATTAATCTGCTGCTAAATCATGCTGTGTTGCTTGGATGATAATTTCTACATGTACAACTAACAAATGGCAAGTGTTACTAAGAGACTCTTTGATTAGAGTTAAGGGATTTTCTAAAACGTTCTTACCAATACTTTTCTAAGAAGAGTACCTATTGCCTTATAAATATATTAAATATTAGCTAGACAGCCATGTTCTAAACAAGATAGCAGCAAAATATCACAGTTAAATCGAGATGTAATACTGCTTTGTTTATTGGCTCTAAAATGAACATAATAATTATTGTCTTACTGCAGCGTAATACTTTGCAATACTCATCTCAATTTAACAATGCAATGTTCTTACCACGTGCAGTGTAATTGTTGAATATCTGGCAAAAAAGAGGAAAAGTTAACTATATCTTCATATGGAGTGACCTTTTCAATCGAGTGTCGTCAAACCAAAGCCAATGAAGTTATCACTTTGGCCAATCCAAAAAAAACACAGACAATCCACGAACTAATCCAAACTCAAAGCAAACATTGTGTAGCTGACGCAAAGCACGGGAAAACTTGTGCGAGTGAGTCACATTTGGCTTAGGTTTTACTTGTGATTGGGCAACAAAATGGCATGATTCTTTTAAGCTAATCGATTGGCATAGTAATGCAGAACCAGAGAAAATGCAAATGACTTTTGATGCTCAAGTGAAAACAGCTCTAAATGAGCCGTATTTCAGATACAATTTAAATTTGTAAATTAGTGATCACACTGGATGAAAAAAAAAGCAATAAATTTGGAGCTAAACAGCACGTACAGTATCCAAGTGTATAAATGGGTACCGGGAAACTTAATGCTGGGGGTAACCCTGCAATGGACTAGCATCCCATCCAGGGGCAGTAAAAAT